CCCAAATATACAGAGGGTGGGAGAGCAGGAGTCCGAGCCAGTCTTATACGGACACGGACAGTTTACTATCATAACACACAAGAATATGACTCTGGCCTGATGGTAAGTTCAAGTCACGTCGGAAAGATCGTATTTTACAGGCTGAACGGACATTAACGTCACCAAAAAGTCGTAATTTCGAGCGGGAAAGTGAACTTTTATAGACTGATTTCCGAGTTGTGGGCGTGTCAGTGAGAAAACGTCAGACGCCATAGACGCAGCGTTTACTGACTGACGATACATTTATTGAAAATAATGAAATTACGTATATTTATTTCATTTACAATAAAACTAGCAAGGTTCTATGCACAAAACAATATTGTACAATTACGAATATATAATGAATAGATTTAGGTATTAAGTCTCATATGGTAACTCACCCTTCCACAAATGAATCAATAAAGGTAAAAGTTTAAGTTTTAAATAAAGTTTCATGTAAAATGAATTTTAACTGAAATAAAATAAAATGTAAAATAATAATAATAAAAATATATATATTCCATCTAGTTGCCAAAGCAACATTTCTCATTTACAATTAGTTTAACTTGATGCACTAAAATGACTAAAACTAAACTAAAATGACAAAAAACACAATCAAGTTACTAAAACTTTAACTAAAAGAAAAAATATCAAATATAAAAATAAAACCTAATTAGGCTATATAATATAACCTAAATATAATATATATATATATATATATATATATCTCAATGATACTAAAATAGCACTGGACAGTGCTATTGTGTTTTCAGTTGTGTTTTCAAACATTTTCATATTGCTGAATTGTTTTCGCTTTAATTTATTCCTTAAATTGTCTTTAATTGGTCTTTAAAAGTCTTACCATTACCTCCATAAAACTCTCCAGCAACCCTGTCACTCAACAACTTCATAAAATAAATAAAAACATAAAAAATCAAAACCACACCTGATGCGCATTCTTTATTCATCAGCAGAAGTATCATTTGTAGTTGAGTTGAGTTTCAAAAAAAAATCTTGTTGAATTTTTTGTAGAAAAGGTACATCGCCAATCACCATCATGCACTGACCAAAGTGACCCGGACGCAACTAATGGTGTAACTATGACTTCCCAACTCATAAATACGCCCTTCCCCCTAGGACTCAATGCAGATAGATTTACAGTGAAACAGTAACAAACAAAACTCTACTCAAGCAAGCAAAATCCAAACATCGGGAAAAGTAAAAATAAGTTATGATGGGGTATTTTTTTGACCTCTAAAGCCAAAAACAAGATGGAATGGTAGGCCTATGTTTTTACAGTTTCTCTTTCTTGAGGTCTGGCAGCTGTTGTCTCAGGCTTAACAGGCTTGCACAAGTAGCTTTCTATCCAGCAGTAAGGTGTGTCTGCTTGTTTTTGGGCAACTCGCCCGTGTTGAAACCGAGCCGGGGTGGTCACAAGACACTGCCAAAATTCATTATCCCCTCAGTGTGACATGCAGGTGGATCCACAGGGTCAAAATAGCACTTAAAGCCTGTAGCCGGGCACCCGGCAGGCGGGGTGTTCACATTGTTGTAATGCCTGCATTGTTTCAATACATAAAAGTAGGATAAGCAGCATAATGGGATGGATAGGCATTCGAACGAGCTGGGGCGGCTTCCCTGGCACAAGGTGAGGTGTCCAGTTTATTAGCGAATGCAGCTATCAGCAGAACAGACAGCCAAGAATCTAGAGCAGACAACTGGGTTTATGTCATGTGACGCTGATGGACTAACAGACAGGCAATCACATGACAAAGCAAAAGAGAGGGATACAAAATGTATGTTTTTCATCAATTTTTTTTTTTACAATATCTTTCGACATTGATTCATCACTGAAATCCTGTTCAAGAAAAGCAAGTATAGATCTGACATTCTTGCTTTCTTTCTCAGATAAGCCATTATAAACATTTGAAAGAAAAAATCTGCCACTTCCTTTTTAAACTTCACTTTTCTTTAAAAATGATTTGTAACTGACAAGCTGGAGGGCAAATGAATTACATGAATTTAAGTCATTTAAATTGAACGGAATCATTTCAAAGCTCTGTTTTGAGCAGATGTTGCCATTTTTGTTGTGCTCCTCTAACACAAAAAAAAAAAAGGCAATTGATAAATAATAGATTATTATGAATTATTAACTGTATCCTCCGTTTCACTTTTCATCTTTTCATCATTTCAGTATCACCTGGACTAAAAAAAGCCAGATCCTTAATGACATCATCCACCAGGAAGTGACATCATTTTCAGCAGGAAAACAACAACACAAACCTCAGTAAGTGTTAGCTTGTAAAATGCTGACATTTTGTGATATTAATTGATTTATGTCATTTACAAAAACATTTGATATAATAACAGAAATTAGTAGTGATGATCGCAAAACATCAAAATTAGGTTAACTTTAGCTTAACTAATTAGCTAACTTCCAATCCCTCGCTGAGCGATTGATATCTTTAGCTCTGCGTTTTCTGTTGATTTTCTTGTCATTGTGTAAATAACCAAGTTATAATTAGTAACGTTAAGGTGTCGGAGCTTGACCACCCTTGTAAAAGAAATGCACTTTAGCACACTTTTATACTTATTATGCAGATAATGTGCTTAAGTGTGACCTGAATGTAATATTCTCAGACACTTGTTTGCATGTTAAATGAACACATGTTAAAGGTCCCATATTGTACACCTTTCTGGAGTTTTATTTTAGGTTTTGATGTCCTTAAGAATATATATTTGTGATATAAGTACCAAAAACCATCTCAATATATTTTTACAGCTCCTTCTTCAGGAGCTCTGCTGAGAACAGGTCGATTTTGGCCTGTCTAATTAATATTCATGAGCCTCTCTTCTGATTGGCCAGTTGTTTTCTGAGTGACGCACGGCCAGGCCAACCACAGGTAACTAGGGTCAGCCGACGTCACAGCGCTAGCTGGAGGCAGCAAAACAAAAAGGAAACTGGAGGCGGCCCATTCAAACCAGCGCAGATTCGGCTACACATGAAGCTTAAAATATCATCTTGTTGTGATGTTGGGTGCCAGAATCGACGTAATACAGCCTCAAATTAGAAATTTGATCACATATCTTCTGCCACTGCCAGACAAAAAAAACGACGACAGCTGTGG